GAAGGAAAGAAGGGATCGGTGGCACAGTGAGCATTCAAGAAGATCAAGGAAGCAGTGACAGACTAGACCAAAAACATCCAGCTCCGCGCCTATCTTCTCGACACATCCACCCCCNCCCCCCCCCCCCCCCCCCCCCCCCCTTCCCCTCAAACTACGCCTTCGAGACTTGGACGCCTGCGCAAACAGGATGAGCACCCATTCAATGTGCTCTGAAAAGGCAATGGTGGGAGTTTAGCGATACACGCAAGTGCAAAGAGAAATCCGGAGTTCCGAGGCCATCAAGATCAGAGAAACGCTGTCACACTGAAGAATCGAATATCAAGATAACCGAATGCCAAGTGATTTTCTGGAGACCGCTGGACCAGGGTGGTTTCTAACTGAATCCCTAGGGACGTTAAACGATACGTGGACAATTCCGACAGGGACGGGGACAAATGAAGACTGATGAATTGTTCAAGTAAACTGGTGATCAAGAGGACGACGAGGGATAGAGGTGACCGAAAATATAGTGACGCAGTAGGCAAGCGCGACACTGCCATGACACCCGTCTGAAGTTTGAGTGTCCTCCTAATTGTTATCACCTCATATTGCGGGTAGATTTCCCCTATCGCTTCCTTTATGAATATTAAGGAATATTTGCAAACGGATGCACGAACTGACAACCGACAGACCGACAAACAAACCGACAGACAAGCCGTGTAGGAGAGAAGCAATTTCCAAAATGGCACACAAGTTCGACATCTTCAAGGTTCTGGAAATGAGTGAGATGCATTGAGCCACTTCAATGCTTATGAAAAATGGCGTACAGAAGCGTGTATTCCGGCTCCAAAGGAGCACCTTATATGGTCGGTAAAATTGATGTACAAAAAATATTCAAACGAGCGCATCTTCCACATTTTGTTCCACCAACTGTAATTGTCATTGTAATTTTTCAGAGTTAAAAAGTAGGCAACCTCGAGAAAATGAAAATCCTAAAGTTAAGGAGTATAAGCAATAATCACAAAAACGACTTTGTCCCAAGTGCCTGGCGTATATTGTTTCTAAAGAAAACACCGACCTTCGCCTGACACAAAACCCCACCACTGAGAACCAGACCTAATGTCATACCTGACCGTTTCACATCAATCAATCCCTTTGGGCCGCACAACAAGACAATACTGTCTTATACTTCACTACTCAGCAACACCCACAACTTGCACAACTTACTATGTAGCCTCTAGAAAGCATCTGGAAGTTTCCAAATTTTACTCAAAACATCAGCCAAATGCGTAACGTTTCTAAATTAAAAAGATTAAAGAGATCTCGCATCTCAAACTCTTTACTCTCCGTTCATTCAAGACGAAGGGAGTAGTAGTAATACTACGCTAATAGAGAACAAGGATTAGGTGTGATATGACACCGAGAAATCGGACACCTTGCATCAGAGGCGCCATTTCGCTATAATCTGGTCAAGCCCTCAAAGAACTTATTAGTCAACAAAACACTGCTCAGCCGTTTGGCGCTTTTGAGAACCGTTTCAGATGTTGACGCCTCGAGAAATTGAATCTTGAAAAAGTCGTAATCACCAGGCGATAAGGGCCAATAGGAAAAAGGTCCCCAAATGCCCCAAACGCTGTTCAAAAAACTTTGAGAAAAATTTTTTGAGAAAAAATGTGTTGGTTTCGTCGTGCTGTCTCTGTCGCAACAAATAAACTCCATTCATATGAGAACATGCGGGAGTGAACTTGTAAAGAGAGCAAATGCACAGATATGTGCAGTCGCGTAATAAAAATTGTTGACTTTGGTAGTAGTGATCTGCAGACTGCTGGAAGCAGATGCTTAAAGGACAATTACTCTAATTTTACTCCTCATGAGAATTGAGCTAACTCGTGATTCGCATGGAAACGTGAAAGACGTGGCTTTCTGTGTTTTAGGTGGCTCCTGTTTGTCAGTCAGTTCAAGTAGTTCCACGATCAAAAATGCTGGCAAACAAGACGTATAACCCAAAAAACAAAAAAAAAANAAAAAAACGTATAACAAAAACGATTGGGAAACATCGACGGTTTTACCCAACAGGTAACACCTACATGGCATTATCAAGGGCACACATCTCCAATAGGTCGTGATTACGCCAACAAATTATCGGAAGTGTGTTTTATCTAAGCATTTTACCCTGATCTTCTATAAATACGGTATGATAAAAGTGTGTTGTAGAGACGCAACAAAAGTAAACAATAACATGAGTGTTTTGACACAAAAATCAAGACTCGGACCATGTCTGAGTGTTGAATCGAATTTACCAAAAATAGGATAGATCGATACCTATCTATATTGAATGGGCTTTCTCCTTTCACAAAATTGAACGCACGGCTGGGAAAGAAACAAGATCAGTTCTTAATGATTTTCTCACTGGTAAAAGATAATACTATTAGATCTTCAATACATATATCCTTCCAAAAAAGGGGGCTAAAACCGTTGGCACAGCTCAATGTACTACCAATACCATGCATTCTTGATTCTTCTTTATTGGTTTTATTAACTGCAAACAAAAAATAAGAGAATTTGGAAAAAATGAGAACAAAAATGCACTGGCCTTTGTCGAGTCGGAGTTTGTGGCTCCCAAGTGTTATTCCTATAGTTCGTTGGTCCAATCAAAATGCTTCGGTATAAAGACGATCAACGGTGAGGGGAAGCACCGCGATTGAAAGGAATGATTTAGAGGCCTGAAATTTTTTTCATCTAGTTCTCTATGCAAAGTATTCACAACGGACTTCTCAGAAGAGTGCCATTTGTAGGCTTCGAAAAGCCGATTATTTTTTCTAGACGAAGCAGTCCGTGTGAAACATACTGCTCAGAAAAACAAGAAAATTGCAGGATTTCCTGCAAATTGTCAGTGCAGCCTAGAGTCGACGTGAACGATGAGAAACTTGAACTTTTTCAGCTCCAAGACGACGGATTCCCCACTTCAAATTCACAAAAAAAACCCTAGCGCTTGAATTTATTATTCAGTATTTAGCTCATAGACAATGGAGCGGACCAGTGTCCTAATCTACCTTTGATTTCTGATCAGTTAATGATCGACAAAACCGCTAAAACACAAAGTATCGAACTTCACATCGTAAGCTTTTCCAAAACTCCGTTATCGTTTCCAAAAAAATTATATTCCATACTTTCAGAAGAAAAAGCTGGTTGAATCCGATTCACCAGTTACAGAAACTCGATATCTCGATCTTTTCATTTACCCATTCTCACTCACCAATGTAGTCAAACTGTACAAGAAAGTATTGTATACGGTATTATTCGCATGGTAAGGCTGCTAGGGATAGTCGAAAGATTCTCCTAATGAATGATTTCGATTGGGTCGGCAGCAATCCACTACAAAAGTAGTGACCAAGATGTCGCTCGACTACAACCACAAAACTTACACAAAAATGAAAAAAAATGACGAAAAAAGTCAAGGGGTAAAGAAAACTAACTCACCCTGGACGCTGGATGCTGCAACCTTCGGAATTTGAGCCAATGAAAGGGCCAATAAGCTGACATTTTTGACACGGCTGTCATTCCCTCTACGTCTTGATCGGACCAATCAATTCTGGTCCGGCTGTGTATTTGGCAACGCCATATTCGGTCCAGCACCGTCGATTTGAACGTTTTAGATCAGCTTGAAGTAACCATTTACTGCCGCACTCCATCCTTGACTATAACTACCTAGCTGAAACAAAAAGTAGCAAATTCAAAGCGTCCAAGCGCCCTCACTTGTACTAGCCCCATGTTGAAAAGCCACCTTCAACTCTACAAGTACATGTATCAACTAATTGTAAGATTCTTTTGACAAAGCTGCGATGAGATTGAGAGGCAATGGTTGTCCACTAAAACGTCAATCAGCGCTAGATCAGCAGCTATTCAACCATGTTTTACTGATTCTATTACTCAGCCCAATTTCGCCTGCCCAAGTTTCCTTCATTTCGGAATCCGCTAGAGTAGACCAAAAGATCGTGAATCGTGAAAGAACAAAAAAGTATATAAATAAGCAATTATGAAGGGAATGAAAAACTAAAACCGAAAAGGGGCTAAAAACAAGTTGTAAAGCACAGCGAGCACAAGCCCGGCTGCTTTCAGACTTCAACGTCGCAACCGACGAGCGCGTGTCCGACCAACGGCGGCGCTAGCCACTTGTTGACAACACTGGCGCGTGATCCATCGGCGTTCAGTGGCTGCTTTCATACTTCGACGTGCGGTACGCACGTCGGAGTATGAAAGCAGCCAGTATTGTCAACACACAGCCAACAACGTTGAATTCTGAAAGCAGTCATTGAAGGGTTCAACTAAAGAAAAAAGAACATTATGAGCCAAGGACTACTGGTCAATTGAAAAGTATCAATTGAATCCTTTCAAGCAAGTAGTTCGGCCTAAACCTTCTCAGCAAAATTGGTGAGATTCCAAAAAATTCCAAAATATCTTTATTAACAAATCTTCGAGTAAACGATTACATAAAAAACAATTCAGTGAATTCAGCGTCATAATACGGTGGAACAAAGATTGTTTGATCAAAAGGCACGAGATCGGGCTGCCCTGCCCAAATCTATCAGAACATTAGATGCTATCAAATTAACCAACAAAACACACTGGCCTTCGAGAAGATTTTCGAAATACAGCTTACTACAAAATTTAAGGCTACAAAAATATGTTGTGTGTTTACCAGTCACGGAGCATTACGTTCTTCTCTACAATCCCGAAATAAAAGGCAGTGAAATATACTTAGATTAACATAGCCAAGTGAAATACACAGATATGGTATGAGTATGCAGCATGCAAAACAAATACAATCCTTCTAGATATTTGTGTAAGAGTGTCTACTAAGTGATCACATGGGTTCATGACCTCGTAAGGCAGATGGTAAACTTTTTTGTTCTTTTTGTAAGTTCTCTTGAAGAAAAATTGGGAATGGAAACGGTATATCAATAATCCAAAAGTTTTCTTATGAGTGAGCCCTATTGCGCCCAGTAGATAAAGTTGTAAAGTTAATACAAATCAAGGCACGATTCAAGAACATCATTTACAAATAACTCGTCGATAGACGTATACATACATAGTACTGTAGTAATGAATACCGCTTGACTTCCTGCCGCTACAACACAACCAACTATTTCGGGAATCTTGCCGATTTCATCGTATTCAGGCTGAGCACTTTCCTGAACCACAAAGTGAAATGATGTCGACACAAACCAATGAAGCACAACTTGGATGTCACAAAATCGACCCACATTTTGTCCCTCATTTGGCGAATATCTTCGTTAGATTTGTAGCAAGCGCCTAGGCATTTGCGATAAAACTCATCAGGTTGTTTATGGCGTAACTGAAACAAGAAGTAGGGAGGAGGGGGTCGATATTCTGCAGTTTCGATTGAATTCCATGTATTCGGTCGCACCTTGATAAACATATACCCTCTTCCGCGCTTTCTAATGGAAAAACGTAGGCGATGTTTTCCTCGAACACGTTTTTTCTGTTTGTTGACAGCCGACAGCTTAGGCGTACCCTTGCTTCCACCTAAAGTTCAGACGGTTGTCCCATTTAAGGATTTCCCGTTTGTTTAAAACTTTCGCACTGAATGTTTTGAGAAATCTTCCCTTGTTTTCATGTGAAAAAACAAAGATATATATCCGTACGTCAGTCCGTTCGGCGCGTGCGTGTGACGGCGGCCCTAGCCACTTGTTGGCACGTGATCCAGTGTTGTCAACAAGTGGTTAGGGCCGCTGTCTCATGCACGTAACGCGCCGGACGGGCTGACCTACGGACGCCGAAGTCTGAAAGCAGCCAGCGAACGAGTCTAAGAGCAACCCAGCTATGATTAGTGGTCGTTTTTAATTTTTTTTTCTTACGGCCCATCAACAATTTCACCAAGCTCTGAGATTCAAGGAATAATCCCTCCATCCATGTTTTACACAGGCATTAATGAGAGTATTTGATGGGTTACATCTTAACCCTGCTGGGATTGGGTAGATTCTACAACCGTTCAAAACATCTGAAACCAGTCAAACTTGGGAGCGAATTTTGTCCAACGGCGCTATGCCTGAGTTCGCTTATTGAAAAAAAAAACAACTGCTCTGATCGCTATCGACACCGAGAATTGAACGCAGACGAATAAGGAAAAATGGGCTTTTAATCGTTGTTAGTTAAAGTACCTTTTCTTGTAAGAAACATGAAGAAACAGAAGTTGTTTTTACAACCCGTTTAAATGAATTTTACCAGCAGAAGTCGTGGTTGCTGATCTCGATTTGGGAGAAGAGCGATGAATCTTCTTGCAACTGCTAGAGGGCTGAATAAAAAAGAGCCAGATTAAATGACGATGAGAGGAGTATCAAAATTGCTCACCAGATTAAATGGCCCTAGAAAACCAAAGCTGTCTTTTACAAGGCATTACACCTGGATTGCAACACCAACCATTTCCAGAAAGCCTTTGGTTTCTACCGTAACCTTTGTTGGTAAAATCACGAGTTTATTCTCAGCCCACCTTCTACCCTCGAACAAGAAGGGTAAAGGCATGACATCAGTCTGACCCTTAGACTAGGAGCACCGCTTCTACTCTTTAGCATTCTCAGAAGCAATCTTGATTCGAATGGTTATAGCACAAGATCGAAACACCGATTGACTAATTGGTAAGTAACCGAAAAGTTAGCAACTTCGGTTCTTTCGATTCTGATTTGGAATGCGAACCAGCCAGCAGTAGCGATAGTGTAGAAGGATCGGTCAATTATTGGGTAATGAATTAAAAGGTGGTTATAGAAGGACTCGCTGAAAAAAACTACAAATAATGACCGGCATAGCTTGCTTCAAGGAAAGGCTCGATAAGATTTCACTGATTGAGCCGACTACCGAGACATCGGTTGACCGAAGTTCACCGAAAGGAGTTAGAAGCGGATAGTCATCGACGCTCCTAACTTCCTTAGAGAAAACTTTACTCGGTCATCACTGTAAACTACATGGATTGTACGTTACATGTACTCCATCTGCTCAAGGAAAGCTGCTTCCCGCAACTCCGTGGAAGACCTTAGGAACGTTCTGTCACACCACCCGGATGTGGTACAGTAGGAACGAAATTGCCGCGTAGCCGCGAGAGGGACGACGCGTGTGGAGGAATATGGCGGAATGCAGCAGCACGTAAAAAAATGCAAGAATGAACTACTAGTAGAATCATGCCTGAATTGAGGTTCGCATACCGATTATTATGAAAAACGCTACAGCTGTAATGACAGCGAACGATTGGTCCGCGACAGCCGCGTGCGGCGGATCGATTGCAGGCGCAAAACCGTTCCTACTGCCCGTTTCCCACACCACCCTATAAAGGCTACCGGACCTCTCTGCAAAATGCTAGAATCTACAAGTTGAGAGGAAGTGACCCAACGTCTAATAGTATAATTGACAATATTCTACTTTTCCTAAACACCTAAGTCTCTGAAAAAATCACCTTGAAGAAGCTCGAGCTGAATTGGCGATGGTGGAACCCCAAAATTCAAAGTACTACAATTAAATCCAAATTCGTCAAAAGAAAAGACAATTATAAACGGAAGACACTCACCCCAGCTTCCATTGCTTCCGATACTTTAAATGATACTTTCATTGTTTCATCAGAATTCGTGATCGGTCAGTCCAAGTTGAAGGGTACGAGTAAATGTCGGTCTGACCACAGAAATTTCAAACCAACATTAAAATGAGGCCATAGATCTAACCTGAACACTCAAACCCACCTTAGCCTATTGCTCCGAGAATGTTCTGGAAACACAGTTGCAATAGGTTCTTTCCGTAAGGAAAGCTTTTCGCTTCAGGACCCGTTCAAAATACCTGCGGACATGTTCAAAACTTATGACATTTTTGAATTTCGCGCGTGACGAATCACTCTTTCTGCTCATGTCTGTGCCCTCTCGCCTAGTGAGTGGTTATGGTCAACGGAGTCCTTGTCGCCACTCCTTGTCCCTGAGTTTGAGATGGGGAGAAATTGCAAGGTAAATCGCAAATGACAATGGATTTCGCTAGTGGAGTTGCTCTCTCACATGGGAGACAATAACTTAATTTCCAGACTTGAACAGCCGTTTCAATTTGTGCCCCTGAAGTTTCCAGAGTTGGGAACAGGGCAGACACTCTGTTCATCGTCCTTCATGCAGAAACTGCTTTTGTTTGAGAGTCAGTCTTTGTACGAACGGTTTCACAGTACTGGGTCATAGCCACGAGCTCCACTCCTCCTTTAAAGGCGCTGTTTACGAAAAAGTGGTTTCGGAGATTTGCACATGGTTTGAATTCGAAGCTCCTCTGAAACCATTTGTGCAGGAATGAGGTCGGAAAACGGCTGGATAGGGCACAATAAGGGGCCGGAGAGGTATCCACGGTCGCCCTCCACCCCTTGATCGGTGTCACGTTAGACGAGTGTCGAGACGACACAGTGTCATGTAATCGCGCCAGGACCCACCCTGAATTGCAAATTGGCAAATTGCCAGGGACGCAATGTGTTGCATGCTATTGCGGACAACACATTGCGTCACTGGCAAGTTGCCAATTTGCCGTCCCTGGCAATTTGCCAACTTGCCCAAACACTCTCTAACCGACGTTCTTTCACTGTGAAACTCGTCCAACCCCCTTTCCAGCTCTTTTTTTGGCCCTTTTTAATTCTTTTTGTTCGTCGTTTTTTGCGCTTTTTTCGTTGTTATCGCTTTATTCTAGAGTAGTTCTATCAATTCCCGTCAGAAAAGGGTACCCTAACTTTTTTGTGATA